GAGGAACCCAAAGAGCCATATGAAAAAAATGGCTTGTCTTCCACCCACGCAAGAGAATTGGTTTATCTTTGTGGGGTGTTTGCTGTTTCCTAAGAACAGCAATTAAAGGAGGTGTGATGAGCATAAACCCAACCCAGAGTATAAACTCCCTGAAGGCTAGGCCTGCGACTTTTATTTCTTCACGTCCCTCCCATAGCACCCAGCCCAGTCCTGGAGAGTGGGAAGCCTGGTTAAAGATTTGTGGATGTGGACGGGTAGATTACTCTCAATATTCTGCTCTGTTGGCATCATCCTTGGGTCAAAATCACCTGAGCTCCGCAGTTCTAGGGCAGTGAATTTCATTGGCTGTAGTTTGAGCCAGGCCTTACCCCACAGAATCACAGAGAGATAAAGAAAAAGGCTCCAAAATACATTTTCTGCTTTTGAGAAAAAAGAGCTGATGGTTGGTCCTTGGTCACTAGGATCCAGGGCCCTGCATCCTGTTACTGTTTCTTTTCCACCCCAGATTCTTTCATTCTGGTCCCAGCCCCTTACCTGAGTTGGATGATAAACCCAGGTTTGGCATGAACGGTCCATTCGCAGTGAGCATTTAGGGGGTAGCTCTCCAACAAAATCTGACCCTTGGGGGCTCGCAGGACCTGGCCACATCCTAAGAAGAGAAGACAAGATTGGGACACAGAGATTGGGATCAGCAGGAAAGAGATAGGAGAAGGTCTCAAAGAGCTTTTGAGCTCACCTCACATCCCTGAGAACAAAATAAATAAGAAAAGGGAGAAAGAAATTAATATTTCTCACGCACCTGGCAATGTGCTAGACAATTTGCACAGATCAATGCATTTAATCTCCCCAACAGTTTGGGAAGGGAAACAGTATCATCCCAGTTTTACAGCTACGGATAATCAGAGAGTTAAATAAATAACTTGTCTAACTACTAAGTGACCCAGCAGAGACTCTTTTCTAACTGTGTCCATATGTAAAGTTCAGGCCACTCTATCATTCTGCCTCTCCAGGACTGCCACAAGCCAGCCCACAGCCTCTATCTTAAAAGGCTCAGAAAGTAGACTATCCCCACAGCTCTACATTCTGCCCCTCCCAATCCAATTAGTAAATGTATGCATTAATTTGTTCCATGATTTGTTAATCATGTAATAAATGCCTTTTTAATGCATGACCCTGAAAGGGAGAGATGATCTCCAACCAGTTGGACTGAATTTATGGTTTTCAGGTTTTTCTTGCTCCCAACCCCTTTTGTTCAAACAAACTGTTATGAAGGCCACGAATAAAAAACAAACATGGATCAAAGAGGGGCTCCTGGTTGAAGCAGAAGCAGGGACCCAAATCCCTCCACCCTCACCTGGTCCCCTGAGTTACCTCCAAGGAATCCCTAAGATTTGAAAACCACTGGACTGAGTAGTCTTTATATCGTGATATAAGCACAAGTATGGAAGATGCACCCTATTTTTACAAGAGTTTGGGGGGAATGTTTTGAAGTGGTTTTAAGGAAAAAATGATTGGGGTCATGTAAATAAATATTCTCTAGTTGGGGTTGGCAAACCATGCTCCATGGGCCAAATCTGGCCCACTGACTGCTTCTGTAAATAAAGTTTTATTGGAACACAGCCACACCCATTCATTTATGTGTTGTCATATGCCTGCTTTTGTGATATAATAGCAGAGTTGAGCAGTTGTGATAAGAGACAGCAGAGCCCACAAAAATGAAAATATTTACTCTCTGACCATTTACAGAAAAAACTTATCTACTCCAGTTCTATACAGAAATTCAGATTGACATCATAAACTCTGGATATGCAGCTATACAGTATTTAATAACCCCCCCAAACACAAAAATCCCACAATTTATATTAGCAGATACTGCTCCATGGCAAGATGACAGTAGTAATACTTCTGCAGTGTTAGAAAAAGCACCCACCCAAACACAAAAATCCCACAATTTATATTAGTAGATACTGCTCCATGGCAAGATGACAGTAGTAATACTTCTGCAGTGTTAGAAAAAGCACCCAAACTCCACTTTTGACAAACCATGAGGTCTGAGGTTACTGTTGTGGAAACCACTGCTAGGTTGTACGATCATCTCTTCCCTCAGCTTCTCATCGCCGCTGCCTGCTCCCAGTGCAAAGCATCATCCACCTCTTCATTTGGGGTTCTTTTCTAGCCTCCACCTCCTTCATCTCTCTCTGTAATGCCAGCCTCCCTTGAGTCTCCTTGCATCCATCCTTGTCCCCAACATTCTATTCTCCAGGCAGCACCTGAAGCCATCTTTTAAATAAATGAGTCAGATTACATTACTCTCTTGACTCCAGCCCTCCAAACACCTTCCTATGACATTCACAGCTTTGCCTCCTTACTGCCCAGACCCACCCCCCACCTGACCTCCCACACCACTGATCTGCTGCTCACGCTGCTCCGGCCACCCAGGCCTTCCTTCTGGTCCCGACTTCACGCCTGTATTTGCTGTTCCCTTACCCCAGAAGGCTCGTCTTTCCTTTAAGAGTTAAACTCAACTGCCACTTCTTCAGAGGTCTTCCTTGACCATCCTGCTAAAACAGACCCGCCCCATTCTACGCTCACTGTTATTACTCTGTTTTCTTCATAACATATACCACTATTCAAAAGTATCTATCTTATGTGCTTGCTCCCTTTGGCAGAGAGCTGGGGCCTTTTCTAGCTTATACAGCTGGACTGGTACCTGGCATATAACCAGTGCTCAAGAAATGTTTGCTGGATGAATGAATGGTGATATTATTATAGCCCAGGCACTGACTAAAAGCTTTACAAACATCGTCTCATTTAATCCTCATAAGAAACCTAAGAAAACAACATTCATTTTCCCATTTTCCAGATGCAGAACACTAAGGACAGAGAAATTAAGTGACTTCCCCAAGCTCAGATGGCCGGGAGGTCAGAAGACTCTGTAAGGTCTCATTTAATCCTCATAAGAAACCTAAGAGAACAACATTCATTTTCCCATTTTCCAGATGCAGAACACTAAAGACAGAGAAATTAAGTGACTTCCCCAAGCTCAGATGGCCGGGAGGTCAGAAGACTCTGTAAGTCACTGTCCTGATTGTAAAGTAGTGTTTAAGAATAGAGACTTTGGAGTCCAACTGCCCTTGGTTTGGAACTCAGCTTTATCTTCACTAGTCACACAGCCTTGATTAAGTTACTTCATCTTTCAGAAGCTCAGTAAACCTGAGTTAAATGTGAATAAAAGTGGCACCTACTTCATATGGTTTTGTGAGGCTTAAATCGGATTATGCATGGAAAACCTTTCACAGAAAAATCAGTAAATGTTAGCAGTTGCTGTTGGGTGGCAGAGCGGGGATTTGAACTTGGATTTGTCTAGTACTAATGCTGGGTCTTCGTTGGTACACTAAACTATCTCAGGGGCTTCCTGATCCAGACCTCCCCCATTCCATTTTGAAACAACAGGATTTTTCCACCCCCACCGCTTTTTTTGTGATGCACATTCCTTCTTCCTGCACATCTCACACACCTCATCGTCCCCATCTGCTGCTGGGCTACGGAAGTGACACACTAGTGCGAGAGACAAAAAAAGAAGGCTTCCTGCACAGCCTCCACCCTCAGCGACTGACAACTTCCCAGCCTGCAAGGTGTCAAATCCCAGCTCCCTCAGCAAACCTCCTGCTGGGGACCCCAAGTTAGAACCAGCAGCAAATGCTGCCAGCCTGCTTCCAGCTTCTCCCCTCCATATGGAAGCTGGAATCAGACAGCCGTGCCCGGGGCCCTCCCCAAATCCAAGGCGAGGCGGTGCCCGTTCACATTCAGGTGTCCTTGGCAAGGCTGTTCAGGCTTTGGCCAGCTCCAGGGTCTCATGCAGCCTCTGGAGGGCTCAGAGCCCCCCTCCCCACCCAGCGACCTGTCCCTGACCATGTGAAATTTTAGGTCACTTGGTCCTGCAGGCCTGGGGGCTGTCCTTCAGAAGCAGCCAGGATTCCAAACATATGCAACGTCTTGGTTCTTCTTAATGGTGTTCCTTCTCACTCTGAAGGGGAGGACAGAGTTGGCCCCAAGATGGGGAACAACTTCCAACCAACCAGAAACAAAGAGGCCACTTCTTGGAAATGTGCTTAGAGGAAGGGGCATTAGGCAAAGAGCAAGAGGGGGAGGGAGCCCCACTCCCACCACACATCAAGGGACTCCTTCAATTCCCTTTCCACTCCTCCTCTACTCAGGGAGTTGGCAAGCCTGGGTGCAAGGGCAGACTGACTACACCTCTCTGTCTAGGGCAGAACAGTGAACACAGCTGAGTGTCCCTGCCAAGGAAGTACTTTGGGCCAACCAAGCAGGTGGTCCTGAGGCTGAAAGACCAGAGCAGGCAGAGTCTGGAAGATGTGCTCAGATTCCCTAACGCTGTCCTGCTGCAGGAGAAGAGGAGTGTATGCATGCGTGTACGTGCATGTAGGGGGACCTGCCAGTGACCCTGGACTCTGCCCTGGACTCATCTCCCACCCCTCCCCATTGCTACAGGCCAAAACAGGAGGGGTAGCTGGATCGACCCTGCTTCTACAGAGTTGTCAAGAAATCTTCATAATTTCTGAACTAGTAAGAGAGCTGCAAGGTTCTCAACAAAGATGCAAGCATTCAGACCATAGTCTAGTTATCTCCATCATCAGGGGTGAGGAGGTAGTGGCAGGAGACACACTTATTTCTGAGAAGTGGTTGGGTCTTGTTTTTTAATCTTTCCTCTTATAAAGAAAAAGAGGACTAAAAATACCCATTCAGACAGAGAGAGGCATTTACATTTTCTTTCCTCCTTCAAAGATGACTCAGGAGGTGGGTCTCACAGTCTGCACAGTTAGAGTGAGTCCAAATCTCAGTTCAACCATTTACTAGCTGTGTGACCCTAGACAAGGTCACTGCATTTTCTGATCTAAGGTTTTTCATTTGGAAATGAGAATAATAGTAGTACCTATCATCACGGGGTTTCCTTGTATGTTTTAAGGATTCAATGAGATATTGCATGTAAAGCTCTTAGCACAGTGCTTGGTACATAAAAATTCTCAATAAACAGCAGCAAATATTGTTATTTTTCTTGAGTCCTGTCTGGATCTAAGTCATTGGCTACTTTGCCACAATGAACACAGCTCAGCTTCTGACCCGTGGCTCGCATGTAAAGCTCTTAGCACAGTGCTTGGTACATAAAAATTCTCAATAAACAGCAGCAAATATTGTTATTTTTCTTGAGTCCTGCCTGGATCTAAGTCATTGGCTACTTTGCCACAATGAACACAGCTCAGCTTCTGACCCGTGGCTCAAGGGCTCACAAGAGCCTCATTCAGCACTGGCTAGAACCCTAAACCCATCAGGCCCAGCAGCCTAGACAGGGATGGCAGAGCCAAGGCCTGGATGACAACCTGGGAATTATCCCATGTAGCAGGTCAGGAGCCAGAAGGAAGCTTGCACATGGTTTGGTTCATCCTATCATGACCTGCCAGGCCCTCAGACAGGTATTCAAAGTGAGGACCTCACGTGCCCCTCACATCAAGAGGGCGTTTAGTGGAGAGGACAAGAGATTGGGCTCCAGGGCCCAGCTTTTGAATTTGCCTCTTGGCTCTGCCACTTACAAGCTGTATGACAGCAAAAGAGTTACTTAACCCTTCAGTG